GCCAGTAGCGGTTCATGCACTCGCCGAGGAGCAGCAGGGCACCTGCAGGGCAGGGAACAGGCAAACACATCAAGCATGGAGAGAAACGCAGGCAAAATCTTCTCCCAGGGAGAGGAGACCCAAAGACAGCCTCTCCTGCTCAAGCTGAGCTAAATCCTGCCTGCTGATTAGTCCAATTCCCCCCAGCTCTGCCAGCCGAGCAAGCAAATGCAGCTCTACGCGTCGCTGATTTTATTTTTAATCCCCCTTGGGGGGCATTCGCTCGCTTTAATGTCCCAGCATCCCCCAACAGCCAAAGGCCAAATGAAGCCTCTCCAGAAGCGAGGCCCCAGCCCCATCACGGGCGACTCGCAGAAAATCGCCCAGACTTGGCCTGGCCCTCGGCCTCTCTCCTAACCCTCCTCCAGCGGCCCCAGCACGGCCTGGATTTCAGGGCATCGCCCAGAAGACACTGGTCATGCCGGGGAGGCCACAAAGGAAGGAAGCGGGGGCAGCTGCCAGAGCCTCCCTGGGGCCTCCGTGCCGCTCTGCTCATTAACGGAGCTGTTGGGCTCATCCTAGCGCTGCCGAGCGCCGGAGCACAGCCCAGGCCACGGAGCCAAGGCTGGGCAGGGACGTGCCAGGCTCCCAGCCTCCCTGCGAGGAGGCACGGGGTGCGCGGGGCCATACCTTGCTGCAGGGCCCGGGCACACTCCTCGGCATTGCTCACCAGCGCAGCGGCGTTGCGCACGGCCGCGGGCAGCCTGGCGTACCAGTTCCTCACCACGTCCTGCAAAACAGGACAGCGGGGACAATGTCAGCGCGTGGCCGGGAGCACGGCAGGCGCCTCTGCCACTCCTTTCCTGCCTGTTTCAGTGCCAGCTCCCGCTGGGACATGGCAACGTTGCTGCCAGCAAGGGGACGGGCGCCAACAGCACGGGTCACACGGGACACCTCATCTCGGAGATCAGGGACAGAGCCAGGACGTGGCGATGCCACCCCCACACCGCAGCGGCGAGCATGATCCACGTCCCCCGCGTTACCTGGAGCAGGTTGCGGGCCAGGCGGGTCTTGCCCGTGTACACCAGCAGCAGGTGCTCGTTCAGGGTCTGCACGAAGCCCTGGTGCACTGCGATCGCCTCCACCTCCACCCGCAGCGGGAGCTGGGCCTTGGACCTCCCAATCTTGATGCCTGGCACCAGCCCACCGACCTGGTCCTGCCACCCGCCACCTGCAGAGCAGGGGGGCTTCAGCCAGGGCCAAGGCAGCCCCAGGTGGGGCACGCAGGGCCCCGCGGGCAGGGACGACGCCGTGGACACTTCCTCA